AGCTTTTAAATCAGGCTTCAGAAAATAAATGAGTTCTGTGCATGTAGTCCCACCTACCAAAGCCTTCATTACAGGGAACACTCCTAGCAAGGCATGTATTTTGTCTCCTCTTTCTGTGAGTTATGTCAATACTGGTGCGTGGAATAAAGACAAAATTCAAAGATACCACAGTAGGTCAGTCTCCAACCACTCTGATGCAGCTATAGTGCACATTGTGTTATATTTCTTGCGAAAAAAAGACAGTATTACAGTAAATCTGCCACGGTCTTGCCGTTTTTCTGTACTAACAGCTCATATTCAGCCCTCTAGTGATGGATAGACCTTACAGCTTAGAGAAAACTGAAGAACTCTAGGCAGTATGTGTTTGTTCAATCACTTAGTCGCATGAGATCTAACTGTTCGTATATGGAAATTTGTCTTTTGCATGTGTTGTAGGAACCCATTTACCAAGTACAGGAAATTTTTAACCCTCTTTGTGAAGGTATATGTGTGTGTTTTTCTTTCTTCGGATCCGCTGTCCTGAACCATCCCTTGCCTCCTCCCAAGGCAGCCTCACAGGTGCTACTGTGTGCCCTGGGCTCAGGTTTCCTGCCTCCCTCACCTTGGTGCAGCCTCCCACCCCACTCCTCACTTGACTTTTGCGTTTGAGCTACCCCTTGACTTTCCAGTTTATTGACAGTGCTTCCTAGCCAGTCCATAGGCTTGTTGCAAGAGCTGGTTTTTCTTGAGGTCAGTTGCTGTGTGTGTTAACTTCAACACAGCTCCAAACGCAGCTCAGGCTTGATTATAATTTGGCTTACGTGTCCAAGCTTGAATCGCCCAACATATGTAATGATGCTCCTGACTGGCTGAGAATTAGCTAACTTCTGTTTTACTTGGCTTTTCTCTTCTTCTGTACTTTCAGCCTGTGTTTCTCTCATCCACTGGTTTGTCTCTTCCTTTACCCTGTACATGCCTTGAAAAAGTAGGTCTGTCCTTATGCTAATGTTTTAGTAGTGCACGGGTCAAAGGATCTGTAGCTTCCTGAGGGCCTTTGATCCACCTGTATGAACACAATTTATTCCCATCACCCCAGCCATTTCGACAAGGAATTTATTGTTAGAGCAATATTTGTATGGCAGTTTCAACACAGAAGAATGTGTTCACTGTTGTACAGAGGCACCTCTTGCATAGTCGTTGTCTGTCTCCTGGCAGAGCTGAAAGTACAGTGCCTGCTTTGCCCTTGTCCTCTAACAGCAAATTCCTCTTCTGTTCTCACCCTGCATGAACTGCTTGGTGGACCGCTGGTGGGCTGTGATGGAGCATGACCTGGGAGTTTACTTTTGCTGATCCCTAGTCACTGATGTGTTTGTCAAGAAGATTATAAAAGTGCTTAGGGCACCGCATATAGCTCTTCTTGGAGTATTTAATCAAATAAATTTTAAAGATTTATAGAGGATCAGTGTCTGTATCTATCAGGAAAGAGTTTTATTAGCAGAAAAGGATCTCAGCAGTGCAAAATTGGTGGCATGGGAAAACTATATATGGGAAAGCGAGAAGTAACGTCGTGTGTCTATGCTTTTGACCTTTAATATCTTCTTAGTTGAATCATAATCTGTGTGATTCTCTTTCTTTGTTTGATAACCTTTCAGGTTGTTTATTTCCTGCTGCAGCCATTCACCAAAGCATATCCTTTGGAAATAGTGCAACTGCAGTGTTGCTGCTTTTAAGCTGTCATCGAAGGCTTACAGGAAGAGACCCCCCACACACACCTTGACCCGAGGATGTACTCAACTTGGAGATAAACGTGGTCCAAGCAGACAGCAAACTGATCTGAGGACCGTAGTGATGGAGTAGGACTGAGTAAAGATACCAACTGTAATGTTAATAGATATATGACTGTTCAAGTTTCATTTAAAATACTAAATAGTGATGTGGAACAAAGAATGAAAATACGTCATTCATATCAATCAGCAGAGTTAGTCTTGCTGACAGTATAAAGGTCATGGAGAGTGAGAAAGATTGTAGAAGTGAAAAATGTACATGGCAAATAAAAAGCATTTACAAAATAATCTGCATGAGAAAGAGTATTTTGATTGTAAAGGACACACTTGGAAGCCAACAATACAGAGAAAGCCACAATTTAATTGTAGCAGAGAGTAAATCATGTCAGGATATCCATATTTTGTGCAGAATTGTAATTCTGTGTCTGGCCAGTCCACAGGATGGCCAGGGCATTTATTTCTCTGGCTTACTTATTCATCTGCAGGCATTTTGCAATAATTGATTCAGTCACAGAATTATGTAGGCTGGAGGTCTGGAGGTGATCTGGTCCAACACACCCCACACATCCCAACCCAACCCCAAAGCAGTGCCAACTTAGGTCAGATTGATCATGACCTTGTTCTTTGAGTTTTGAGTATCTCCAAGTCTGTTTCAGTGTTTGACTAACCCCACAGTGCAAAAGGTCTTCCTAATATCTAACTGGAATTTCCAGTGTCCCAGCTTATGTTTGTTGTCTCTTGTCCTGTTACTGTGCACCTCCAAGAAGACTCTTGAGCTTGTTGTCTCTACATCCTGTGATGCAGACAGCAGTTGTGGACGTCAGTGAGATCTCCCCTTAGCCTTCTTTTCTCTAGACTGAACTAATCCAGATCCCTCAGCTTCATGTCATACATCATGCTCCAGCACCCCAGCCCCCAGACTTGCTGCACTTTGTCGCTCTCTTTCCTGTATGGGGGAAGACCAAAACTGGACATAGTACTCCAGATGAAGTCATACAAGTACCAAATGGAGGGGAAATAATCATGTCCCTCAAGCTGTTGGCTGCACTTCCGTTTAATACAGCCCAGTATGGGCATACTGCTCACTCATGTTCAACTTGCTGTCCATAGGACCCTAAGACCTTGCAAAACTGCTCTCTGCTCAGCTGTCCCCCAGCTTGAGCTGTTGCATGGAGTTGCTCCATCCTAGGTGCAGGGCGTTGCCTCTGCCTCCATGAAATTTCTCCCAGCCCATTTCTACAGTCAAATGCCCTCTGAAGAGCAGCTCTGCTCTCCAGTGCACCAGCTGCTTCCTTTTGTTTAGCACCAGCAGCGGACTGGCTGACCGTGTAATGCACCTCATCATCCAGGTCATTATTAAAGGTTTTAAAACAGTGTCATCAGCTCCAATGTCAACCCCTCAGGAATGCTATTAGTAAATGGCTGCCAGCTGGACTTCATACCAGTGCCTATCAGTGGTTTGCAAGTCACAGGAGGAAAGCAAGTAGAGGCTATAATCTGAGCACATTCGACCCACAGTTGAATTTTGTGTTGATCTGAGTATTTTGAGAGATAACGGTGAAGTCTTTCCAGTTTTACTTGTTTGCTTTCTATGTGAAATCAGTAGAAGTGTCTTTCTCTCCCCCAGAATTACTATTATTAACAACCATTTAGAAAGCCAGTAGCAAAGTGTTAGGGAATCTACCCAGCATAGATGAGGAAGAAACAGCAATCATACAGAAGCTCCAACCTACTATACCCAACAGCTCTCCTGAGCAAGAAAGAAGAGTGCGCGATGCTGCTGATTTCAAAGAGCTGCTAATTCACCATCTAGGTCTCAATGAACTTCCTGTTGTGATTTGCAAAATCTGTAACTGGTTTTGGCCTGGCTATCCAGTCACAGCTCTTCAGATATGACTCAATGAAAGGCTTTTTAAAGGGGTTTTGCACCAGGCTGGCATTGTACATAGATGTCAGCTGAGAGGTTTCTGATGAAGGATGCTTTGTTAGGGGACTTCATAACACGTGGGAATTAAACTAAGACTAGCACCTGTTTTCTCAATGTTTTCTCAGAGCTTACACTGCATGAGTTTTATAAACTAAATTAGCATTGGTCAGGGTGCTGCAGTGGGCTCCAGAGCACCAGTTTGGATACTACTGGGCTGTGTGCTGTAGACATACCCATACCTACAGTAGCAATGGGCACCTCGGCAGTGTCCTTTCCCTGCCCACGCAGACCTGAAACATTTTCTGCTGGTAATACTCCCAGCTCAGCAGCAACACAGCACATTCATCAGAGCATGTTTTGACTTTTTTTTTTTTTCCTAAGAACTGGTGTTTTGAATGTGGTTACTGTGAAACACTGAATATGTTTCAATATGCTAAAAAGAAGCAATGGGACTGTTAGCGTCTGCTGTTTTTTTCTTTCCACTGAGCTGCTCACATGGAATAGTGGTGAACACAGATCTTACTGAGGGCAGCGGCATGTCCTAAGGCACTTTGATGAGTGACGGTTAGCTGGAGCCTGGTCCCCGTTACCTGGAACCTGAAAGATGCAGGAGAAGACTGGGAGAGGCCATACTCAACAGGTTTAGGTTGAATGCAGAATATCTGCAAACTGATTTGCCTGCTGATTTTTGGGTGAGCTTGCTGCAGCCCAAGGCTACAGGCCAGAAATAATGCTTAAGGCAAACAGCTGAGAAGTAACCTGGTGAGTTCTCCAGGAGTGAGAAGTATGAGGGTTTGGGATGGCATGGTAAAGAATTTTGTGTGCAGACCAGTACTGGACAGAGGAGAGAAATGGCTCCCATGCAGAGACACCACTGAGTTCCTGATGACAGGTCAAGTGGTAGACTTCAGAGACTGAAGGCACATGCAGCTGCCTGCTCCAGTGAACTGCTGAACTCACCATGGTGTCCAATTGTTGCTGAAAAAGCAGTGACCACTTCACAGCACCTGCCCCTTAGGCTGCCAGATTTCGGCTGCCTGGACAGTTGCTGGAGAGAAGTGTGTCTGTGAATGAAAATAGGGTGCTCAAAGGAGACTTCGTAAGTATGGCCATAAGTGCAAATGCAGGATAGAATGAGAGATCTGTGCTTTTTGCATTACTGAGGTAGTACCTATCACCAACCAAGAAAGAAAGGGAAGCAGTCCCCACAAAAGAGCGTACTAAGATGGTTGTATTGGGTTCATCCTAGTGAAGCTGCAAAAAACCTAGTTTCTGCCAGTGCAGCGAGGCATCTGAGGAGGCATCAGGTGTCAGGTAGTGTTTTATTACACAAGATATTTATACAGAGATGTACAGAGGTGCCTTTCTGTCAGAATGGCAGCCATATTTTCCATCAATTGGCACCAGCAGCAGCAAGATCACTTCCTGCCGAACTGAGGCAACGGTGGTGGCACTTTGATGTCTTGACCTCTTTCCAGTTTCTTCTCACAGTCAACTAGAAAATTGACCCCATCAATGACAATCTGGACTAGCTCCACCTACAACAAGAGGAAGAAAATAGTAGTAATAGAAGCTTTAGCTAATGCTGTTAATAGGGGAAGGGAAAATAGGCTTGTACTGCAATGACAGCAGGTAAAGCTGTAAGTAAGGAGGGTCATGGCACAGAGATCACACACTGTGGCACAGGGAGTATGGGTCATGCTGGTCCAGTGGAAACCCATGGAAATTCCCCTCTCCTGTTTGCCCTGAGTTTGGATCGCCAGCAACATAAATTTTCAAATTGTCCCCTAAAGTTATTTCCACAAAATTCTGCTCCTACTCATATTGCTATAGGAGCAAAGCAAACAAAAAAAGTCCTTACATGAAATGTTTAGCATGAGTTGAGAGACCTTTTTCAAATGTGACCTGTTTCAGGTGACCATTAACCCTGCTGCAATGATTCATCAGCTGTGGAGAAAGTTGTCCTACTCTGTGCTGGCTCTGCTGAAGGAGTTTTGCCAAGCTCAGGACCCACATCTCTGAAGCAGAGGCAGTCATCTTAAACTCGTGCTGGCTCTACATCATCCATCACTCCTTTGTTTTCAGCTCTTGATTTACACTGGCAGGGGCGGGATTAGCTCCAGGTCCAGAGCAGCACCAAAATTTGCAATTCTGTGTAGCAGGGGGTAGTGGTGTCTTTGTAACCTTTTTCAAAATTGCTGAAGAATACAAGGTGCCTTGTCCCCAGCAGACTTTCTCCACAGGCCCTGTGGTATTTTTAGCCAGCAAGCTGTGGCACTGATTTGTCTTAATTTTCATGAAATGGTTCATTAGCAACCTTTAATGACTGGCTTTTTAAAACTGAATGCGAAGACTAAATCTCATTGTCTCTTTATTGTGGCAGTCGCTGATTTTCAAGGGATTTGTTTTTACTATAAAGCATTTCAGTGGCATAGCAGTTTATTTTATTGTCTTTTACAGACCAGCTGTGTTGGGAAATCAGAGGTCTGAATTTGCAGCCTCCAGGAGAAAAGGAATTTCAGATTAAGTTTGCATTGACCAGTAACTGAAACAAAGCAAAAAACTAAACAATTTTATCTTGCACCTTTGGGAACATAATTCAGTTCTGCAAACACATTTACCACATAATGGAATTTATTTTATTATATACTAAAAAAATATGTCTTATAATAAAACATTTCTCTCCCCTTGAGTTTGTCTTGGTTTATTTAGATTTCAAAATCTTCAAGGTAGGGATTGTGCCTTATCTGTTGGCTTAATCCTTTGAATCCTTGCTGTATGAGGCATCACTGACTTCAGTGGAAGTCTTCCTATAAGCAAAAATTTGGAGGCTTAGGCCGTCTGTCAGTAGAACTCATCTTAATTAGTCATGCCATGTAATCCTTTTGTATTATTAGTGTTATTTTAGTATAAAGCACACATGATGATGTTTCAGGTATTGATAAATGTCTGTCACATACTGCTTTTGCAAACAATACAGCATAATAGTTTTTCAGTCTTACTTATTTTGGTCTAGATCCAAAGGAACATAGCTGCCTACATCAAACCCCAAAATTTAAAATGTCCAAACTCCTATCCAAATTCCCCTTGGCTGTGAAGACATTCAAGGGCATGTCCAAATAAGAAAGCCTGGAAGACCTGACTTGGCCCTGTCCCAGTGACAGAAAATCCAAGGTAGGTGAGGAAGGGAAGCCAGCTGGCTGGCTGTGGGCAGTTTGAATCTAGTGGTATCCCAGGGTTGTATTTGTGTTGCGAAAACCTACCAAGAATCAGGCTGAATGCAGGTATTGGGCTGCAACATCAGGACCAGGACAACTGTATCTGAGCTGCCAAAGCCTCTCAGTGCCATGCTCTTCTGGATAAACACACCTTGACAGCATGTTTTTCTTTACCATGAAGTTTTAACTTGCAGCAAAATCTCCAAGGTAATTGAAATTTTGCTGCTGGGCAAGCAGGCAGCCTGTCAAATCCTGATATGTACAAGCAAGTTGGCATCTGAGCCCAAATCATCTGTTGCATTTCTAGTGGAGAACAAGGGTCCTCAGGAGACATCAGTCCCACCAGGGCCTGGCCGGTTGACCATAGCTGAGAGGTTACAGCACACATCTGGGGCGTGAAAGACGTATTTGACAGAAGGTTTGAACTTCTGTTTCCTATCTACTAGCAGAGTGCTCAAATCACTGGAGTTACGGGGTCTTCCAAGGTAAATTTCTGTCTCGGTTGTTCTTGATGTGACCGAGGGTGAACACAGCCCTGGTCTTGGGGAGGAAAGGGAAACTGTAGTGCTGCCACAGGACTTACAGCCTGTGATGTGGAGTAAGTGTTTGGCTCAGGCAGCGTTAGCAGAAGGAGGCTGCAACTCTTTTGACACGGCTGTTTCTTCCCCACCCTCCGGTAGATTTGCTCTTAGGAGCTGTTCAGCTTTATAAAATACTTAAATGTGAAACTGGAATGAGATCTGAGACCCAAGTGCCCCAGGAGAGCAGCAGCACCACCAGGCTGTCGGGTCATTTCCACTCTCTGGCACAACAAATATTCAGACTGAAATAGCTTCAAAACAAATGTCCGAGATGAACCCATCTCATTGTAGCCTACAGCCCAAGAGGGAGGGCTCAGAGCTGACAGTTTAATTTTTTCCCTGATTTAAACCTATTTCTCCTTTGACCTTTGCTCAGTGCCACACAGGACATGTGAAGATGGCACCAACTCCTCCTTTTCAGTTATTTTGGAGTGAAAGGACTGACCTTGTCCTGCTGTCCAGCTGTGGAGAAAGTGCATGACTGAATACTGAAAGGAACACAACACCTTAAACCGGTCTTGCTTTCAGTGCCTGATGCCCTGGGTGAGTTAGGACTTGATGCCTGCTTCTTTCCCCAACATTTTGGGGGCCAGCAGGTCAAAGGAGGTGATTCTCCCCCTCTACTCCGCTCTGGTGAGACCCCACCTGGGGTGCTGCATCTGGCTCTGGGGCCCCCAGCACAAGAAAGACATGGAACTGCTTGAGCGGGTCCAGAGGAGGCCATGAGGATGATCATGGGGCTGGAGCACCTCCCCTATGAGGACAGGCTGAGAGAGTTGGGATTATTCAGCCTGGAGAAGAGAAGGCTCCGGGGAGACCTTATAGTGGCCTTCTAGTGCTTAAAGGAGGCCTAAAAGAAAGATGGGGGCAATGTTTTCTAGCAGGGCCTGTCATGATAGGAGTAATGGTTTTAAACTAAGAGAGGGCAGATTTAGACTAGATATAAGGAAGAAATTTTTTATAATGAGGGTGGTGAAACACTGGCACGGGCTGCCCAGAGAGGTGGCAGAAGCCCCATCTCCAGAAACATTCAAGGCTGGGTTGGACGGGGCTCTGAGCAACCCGATCTAGTGGAAGATGTCCCTGCTCACTGCAGGGGGGTTGGACTAGATGACCTCTAAAGGTCTCTTCCAGACTCTATGATTTTGCAGCAGGTACAGCAGGTACCACCCAATGTGTAGTAGCTAGCTCAGTGCCCACTGTACAACTTGTAAATGTGTCTCATGTCCAGCACTGCAGAGACCACTGGACACCAATCTCATAGCTGGGCACTCCAGCAGGCAGGCAGGTTTAGGGTTTGTGCTGTGATGCTGAGAAATGTCCTGAGGGATGTCTGTTACCTAACACACCTGCGTGTTCTCAGCAGAGATCCTCAGCACATGGTGCAAGCAAGTCACATTTGTGGAACTTGCTCAGGATTGTTTTTTTCATTGCCGTAACATGAATATTTGTCAAGCACATCGTGCACATTAATAATTTTTCTTTGAGTAAGCATTTCCATTGGACCAGATTCATCAGGAGTAAAAACTGCCATAGCTACACTGAGGTCAGCAGGGTGAACCCAAGCGGAGGCAAACTGACTCATACCAGTACGGACCTGAGCTAAAAAGCACAGGAGAAAAAAAAAAAAAAAAGAACAGGAGAACAGGTTACCTCTGAGCGACCCATGCGGTCCAGGTTGGAGATATCATACACATCTGCTACAGCTGCCGTGTCCACTCCACCAGTGCCACGCTTTTGCAGGCGCAGGTTCTCCAGGATTTTTGGAAACCTGGGATCCTATCAGAAGAAACAGATTTGAGCTTATGGCCTTTACCCTGCATATTGTGCCAATGCTATTATCCATGTTGCAATGCTGTTATCCATGACTTAATAGCACCTCCAGAAAGAGAGGCAGAGATGGATAGTTTTCTCAGCCCTTGGATTACAGCGTGTCTTGGCATCTGTCTGCTGAGTAGATTAATTTCCATAAAAAAATACAATAATTTGCAGAACAATAGTGTGCTTAATTAGTCATACATTATCCCTGGGACCTTATTACACATCATGGTAACATGCAGTCTCTGTAAGCTGTCATTTTTAATTTGTTCCTTTATAAATTAGAAGAGCTGACTTATTTCACTGGCCTTTTAAATTACTTGTGTACCTTGCTAAGCCTAGGCAGCTTGACATGGACTCCAGCACGTAAACCAGTTCCCAAGTTGGAAGGACAGGTCAGAACATATCCAAGACGCTCATTCCACATGAACTCCCAGCCCCGTTCTTTAATTAATCTTTCCACCTATGGTGGCAAAAAAATAAAGAAAGCAAAAAGAAAAGGGCAGCATACAAATGCCTTATTTTAAGCTGTCTGCTTATGGCTGAGATTCTTTTCACCATGTACCTGTGTTGATGATGAACTTCACTAACACCAGTGGAGTTGCATAAATTTACACCCAAGTACAGTCTGTTTTGGATCTGATGCAAATGTCTGTACTCCACAGGTGCCAAGATCTCCAGTGCATATTACAAGAATTTCTTCATTGTCTTCTCACGACCACTAGCTTGCAGACTCTGTCACTTTATCACAAAACTCCCTGTCATGGTTTTGGTATAGCCTTAGCCCATGAAGCTGTATCTTCACGTAAAGATTATGGCTTTTGCCATGAGTTTCTAACCTTGGTATTTTTGGAGCATTATGACAATCTAACCAGGAATGATGTGGACAAGAGTAGTGGAGAATAGTGTTCAGCCACGTCACCTGTCCCACTGCATCCCGCTATATTGCCTGTGGGACACAGTAAAATCCTTTTTTCTCTGTTAAAGGAACTTTTTCTGTGCCAGAGAAGTACACAAGGCTGCACTGACTGGGTGAGAGCCAACTTGCAGCCATTCCTGGATTCTCTAGATGAAACTGTTTTAACTCACATGCTATCTCATGAAGGCTTTTTTTTTTTTTTTATATCTGTGAATAGCTAGACCAGAATAAAATAGCGGAACCCTGGCTATCAGTCCTTAGTATTTTAATCACAAAACCCCATATCTCCCCAGAAGTGGAAGTGAGACATGTGGTCCTAAGCCCTGAGTCCTGTGCATAACCTCAGTAGCATCCACTCTGCTCCCAGCCTCAGGGATGAGGATCAAGAGGCTGGGCCAAATAAATCATTCAAGCAAATCAAGCAATCCAAGTAAAAGCTTGATTTATGCATTCTCACAGCCTGCAGGCACAAAGTGACAAAAAAAGGGATATTTCTTTAGCCAGCCTGTGCTTAAGATTTTAATGGAAAA